TATAAGAGTTAAACATGCAATCCAAAAGAGATAAACAGCCCTAATCAGGTCTAATACCACTGGACAAAGCGGACTGTTACGAAAGCAAACTCTATTTGAAATTTCAATTGTCCAAAGTTTAATGGCCTTCTACTTTGAATTTTCCTGTAAAAGTAGGTATTTTTCCGTAATTTCGTGAGTTTTTTTTTTTTTTTTTTTTTATACAAAAAATGGTTAACTGTTAGGAGTTAGTATTGTTCTAGTGTAATTAGACGGGTTCAAAAGCATAATCTCCACTTGTTACTCGCTAGGAGGAGCGCGGCCCAACCAGTGGGCCGCGTAGTGGAGTTCGTAATTTCGTGAGTTTCTCTATGTTGTGTGATCATGGTAATAACTGCATGCTTTTCTAATTGGGTTTATGTCAACATCACTAAAGTGAGTTTTTCTGTGTTGCTCTTGCTTTCCACAAAAACCAGCTCCAGCGCGATAATAGTGGACAAATGGTCAAATATTGCACTGACATAGAAGATTGAAATTACTTCATTTTACCTATTTACTCTTAATAAATAGATAAAGATAAAAAGAAAATTCCAATGATAGGATGATAACTAAAATCATCTCTACAATGGAGAATGTTTCTACTGAACATGTCATTTATGTTAGTTCAGATACTCTGTTGAAAGTATGCTATTTATTAAAATTGTAAATTGACTTTAACTGCGGAGATGTTTTGGAACTCACAGTGGCCATTACAATTAAAGATAAAAAGGCAGAAACATGCACTCTTAAATTCAAGTGCCAGATTTTCTATAATCTATCTGATTTTTCTTTCCATTTACTTCCCAAGCCACTCCCCCCCATTTATGTTTCTGAATTATTGCATCTGTGTTTTTTTATAGCACTTGGTATCATTCTCACTCTCACTTTGCTTCCCTGATTCCTTGCTCCACCTTTTTCCCATGTTACTGACAAATGCCCCGCAGGTGAGCCTTTTTTTTTTTTTTTTAACAGATTTGGACCTTGATGAGATTAATGGATGCAAAATTGACTGTGCTTGATTACTATTTTGGCTGTCAGTTTGTCTAAATGATACCAGTTGGCAATCACCAGTGAGTATTTAATTGGTTCACCACAGCTTTATTGGTTAAATGAGGTTTTC